ATCTTATTCATGACTAGCTAATCGTACTTGTTACATCATCCAAAAAATATTTTGGTAGATTAAAGTCATTTAGTATACTCTTTTAAATATTTATTCTTTCTCTCAACCACTCCAATTTATTGGAGTGTCTAAATGGTGAAAAATTATGGTTTATACAATATTTTTCTCAAAACAACTCAAAACTCTCATTTTTGAAATTTTCCATCATGATCAGACCTAATGAAAACAATATTATAATTTTTTATTTATTTTGTAAAATCTTGACAAGTTTCTTGAAAACTTTGATTGCATCTTTCTTAGATAATATGAATAATCCTAGACTCATAGTTCTAGAAGGATCAAACAAATTCATATGCAAAAGCTCTAAGATACAAGTCGTGGAAATCATATATCATGTTTTGAAAGAATCTTTCATTTGCTTACCCTTTTGACCAGTGACGGATCTTCTTCGGAACTGAGAGGGGTCGTGACCCCTCAAAATTTTGTAACTCTCATATAATTTATGATTTTGCCCCTCAAACTTAACGATAATTTTATATATTTACTTATACATTTACAATTTTATCCACTCACCCTTTCATTTTCTTTCACCCTTTTATATTTATTTATTATTTTTTAATAATATATTATTTGACCCTTTCAGAATCAATGGTCAAGATCCACTACTGCTTTAAATTTTGACAAACTTCACATATTGAGACATTTATAAACTTGAGCTTAGAAAGACCAACCACTTGCTCCTTTGTTATGGCATTGCCTAGTTGATACATATGCATGTAGACAAGAATCATCTTCCTTGGTTATTAAGCATGTGGGCTCAATGGATGATACATATTCAAGATCAATCATGTGTATATTTTCAATGTGTTTACCTACTAATAATATCTTATTTGACTTGTTCTCACAAATTAGACAATGCTCACATTCAAAAGTAAATTTGATTTTTTATCACATAGTTGACTAATACTTAGGTGAATATTGTGTTTAAGATTATCTACACATAGTATAGTTTTTACAAAAATAAATGATACATTTTCAATGTTTTTAGCATCTAATATGTTTCCTATGTTCTTGTCCCCATATGTTACAAATCCACCAACTTTCAAATGAAGAAAGTTAAATCTCTCCTAACCCTACTCATATGCCTAAAGTAGCCACTATGTAGATACCGCAATATCTCTTTAACTCTTAAACATACCTACAAAACAACATTAGATAAATGAATTTGGTCTCTAAGAGAGTTCGGCCAAAAAGAAATATAATAAATAATAAAATAATTTAAACAAATCAATCCTTGATTACAAACACTTGTGGGCTTACATGATTTAACTCTTCTTCACAATGCAAAAAGTGGGAGGTTAATCACTTTGATGCTTAAGTTAGTAAGAAAATTTGAGTTCAGGAATGACAATAAAATGAATGTGTAAAAAACATGTGTAGAAAGAATAAAGTAATACTCTTATTTAAATTAATTTAGGTAATATGATTAAGTAATTAGATATATTTATTGTACAATACTACTTTGATACACATTAACATAGATAATATTTTCGTTATATAATAAATATCATGATTTCATGTAGTTAAAGAAACTTTGAAAAGATATTTTTTTCTCTCTCTCGAATGAATAATATATTCCACTATTATTTATAACATCTTTTTGAGAGCTAAAATCTATATTAAGATTAACCTTATCTTGTGTGAACTTTACAATTATTTTTTTAAGACATTTAACCTTTTTCAATTTTCACATTTAATTTTAACTTTTTGAGAAAATATAATTTGTCTAATTCTTCTTGTAATTAATTAATTTTTTTTCTAATCAAATTTTCATCCCCTTAAACTATTTGCATATTTCAATTTTTGGTCTTCATCAAGTATTATATATCACTGTTTTTTTCACCTTCATCCTTTTTCGATTATTCATTTGAGCAATAGATTTTTGTGTCAATTTCTTCTTTTTTTCGTTACTACTTTCTCTTGCTTAACAAATTTATTCATTTCAAGCTCATTGATATCTTAATTTTTCAAAAAGTGAGGCAGTGTTCATGGTGAGTGGATTCTTTCTTTTACTAAAAAATTGTAATTAACTTCAGTTGTTATATTTTGTCAAAGACACTTTAATATCTTTATATTCAAGTTTTCATTTTGAGTTTTTCCAAGATCAATCAAATGATTTATGATTAGATGAACCATTTTTGCATATAATTGATTAATTCTCATATTCTTAAGAGTATGTCTCCTTTCTCTTTTGATATTAGTTGTTCCTTTATATATTACTTCCAAACAAGGGTAGTTAAAATACTTTAGCTTGATTTTTTATTAAGTTGTTAGGCAATTTTCAAAAAAATATTATAAAATATTTTCTTAAAAGAGTTATTAAATACTGTATAATAAAAATTCTTAAATAAAAAGATATATTATGAATATTTTTATATGATTATTGTTGTATTTATAACTTCTCTTTTGTTATGATTATAAATAAATTACATAATCTTATAATTAACCATTACAATACAAAGTTTCTATGATTATTATTGAGTATAAATATATTATAAATAAAATATAAATAAAATATAAATTAAATTAAGTACTTTAAATTAATTCAATTGAAAAAGGTTGATTTAGTAGAATTTGTTTTTAATTTAAATTTTCTTAAGTGAATTTAACGTATTAACATAAAACTTTAATCCATTAAAATGTTTATCCTAAACTCAAAAATGGTAAAAAAATTTTATCACATTAAAATAATAATTTAACTTATTAAAATTCTGCAAAACTTCCTTTTAAATAAAACTAACAAATTAAAATAAGTTTTTATTGATTAAAATATTCTTTATAAAAATATTGTAACATATTAAAACAAAATTTTAAGCAATTAAAATTTGTTAAATTTCTGAATCAATGCATAAACCTTTCAAACATAAATTTACTCAAATAAAACTCTTAAGATAAGGAAAAAATAAATCATTTACAACCATATTTAGCCTAGAATATGGTACAAACTAATACAAACACAACTAATCATCATCTTTATCACAAATAATCCAAATAAACCAAAGATAAAATTATCAAATCATTTTCAGGGAGTACACAATTCTTTAAGAGACTTGCTTCCATCACTTGAATCTATGAGTCAAAGTTTAAACATTAAATATTTTATTGTTCTTAGAAAAAAAAGATTTTTAATCAATTCATTTTTTCTTACAATGGTATTAAACTAATTAATTCACTCTCATTTTTTATTTGGATTTATGATTTTGTATGAAGAGTGTGATTTAATTCATTGACTTTTTTAATCAATTAAGTTTCAGATAACTTTTTAATTTTGATAAATATGATAAAGAGAATGTTGATCTCATTTCTAATTGAATGTTGATATTGGTCGTGTTTCTAGCTTAGTAATGTTGATTGAGGTGCTTATCTTAATCGTGATTTTGGTGTTGGTTCAATTGTATTTGGTTCTAATCTTATTTTAAAAATATGAAGTAATCAAATATTTGTTTGAGATGTTGATTCTGTTACTTGTCTCGATACATTGAATTTGATCATGATATTGGTATTGATTTAGGTATAAGAATTGATCCTTTTTATGTAAGGTGTTAATTATAGTGTATTGCTTAACTTGCCTTAATCTTAATCTTAATTTGATTTCTATCTGAACATTTAAATGAAAATTATTTTATATTAAGTATGACCTTGGTTAAAATTTATGACTAATTTTTTTACTTAATTTTTATTATCTTAAGATTTGATTCTCTCTTATATTATACTCAAATATAAAAATTTAGATGATAATTACACCTTAAACTTTTCAAATGATAATTACACCCTAAACTTATCTGGAGTTTAACTAAAGTGACATATTTTACAATTTTTTCTCTTATGTCATATTTTCTCTTTTATTTATTTTTTAATTATCTTGATATTGTGTTTTTTTTATCTTACATAATGATTCAAATTTTAAACATAAAATTTCACTAATTTTTAATAAAAAGAATATTTAATTCATTAATTATGAAATTTAAATAATATTTTAAAATAAATAATAATAAAGTTATTCGTTAAAGTAATATATTAAAATATTCTTAAATACGTTATTAATAACTCTTAAATAATTAATGATAATAAAAAATAATAGAAAATACGCGTTATTGAATAAAATAATATATTATAATTTATTAAAATGATTTTAGAAAAAAATATTATTAAAAAGCACTTTAAACATAAAAATTTATTAAAAGTTAAAACATATTTCAGTTTTGAATATTGAAAATTTAATTTTTCAAGAACATAATTGATTGTAATAAATATAATCTATAACAAAGCTTATGTTAAAAGAAATGTTTAGCCATTACTTCTGTATAAATATTAGATGAATAGAAAAGCAATAGTGAGAAAATAATAAAAAAATGATAATTGTACTTTGAGAAGGGTAACTTCTAAGAAAAACATAGAGCTTTCGTTTCTATTTCCAAAATACAAATGGCAGTATTTGATATTATAATTTTACTTTAACTTGATGTCTTTTAGTAAATTATCATAAAGAATGAAAACAAATTACATTTTATAAAGTGACGATAAGCAAATTAAAAGTTTATAATAGTATAAAATGACCCAATTAAAATTTTTAGCTGCAGATACATTGGAATCAAGTACCATCGTTACACACAACACCATTCTTCGTTGTGTCAATTATCATCAACAGTTACCACCTCCTTCCTTAGGAACTCTACCACAAGAGAACACACACCACGACCCATCATATCACATCACACTCTGATGCGATAACAAGAGTTAAAGCAGAGTTTGAGTTTCCTCCAAATAAAAAAATCACGACACACACACACACTCACACACATGGATAAACCACACCCTTCCAACCGTTTCCCTCTCCATTCATTTTCTCACCACAACAAACAAACATAAGTTTCATACACAGACACACATAGCATAACCGTTCTCACTCACTTTCCCACTTTCTCCGTTCATTCATCACCATGATGGAGCGCTACACGCTTCCCGCACCACCCAGTGAAGAGGACGCGCCACCACCGTCGTGGGCCAGGCTCAATTCACAAGAAGAGGACATCGCCATTGCCTTGGGTGCCCCTCTTCCCTTTAAATCCATGCTTCAACAACAATCTCAAACACAACAACAACAACAACAGCAACATCTTGACTCTTACTTCAACTTCAATATTAACTCTGCTATTTCCCTTCCCTTTGTTCCAAATATGGATTCTTTCCCCCCTCTAGACCCCTTTGCTCCTTCACTTTCATCACTTCCTTCCTTCAACAACAACAGCAGCATGCCCTTTGACCCGGGCTTTGAGTTGGGCCTGGACGCTGGGCTTCACTCTTCATGCCCCCCTCTCTTTTCCCAGGTGCAGACGGGTTTCGAGTTCGGAGAACTCGAAGCTCTAACTGGACCTGGGAATGCTCCGTTTTTGGACGGAGCAAAGATTGTGAGCCCTGTTGAGGGGGTGCAGCCGACTCTTTACAGGAAGAGGAGGGGAACGGCGGAAATTCCGGGACTGGAGACGGTGAGAAGGAAGGGGAGGAAGTGGGAGGAGGGTGAGGGTGAGGGTGAGGAAGGGAGCAGTGCTGACATGGATGGTTCCGGGTTGAATTACGAGTCTGATGAGAATGATAATGGGAATAATGCTTTGAAGGGAACTGAGAATGGTGGAGATCACAAGGGGAAGAGGAAGGGGCTGCCTGCTAAAAATCTCATGGCGGAGAGGCGCCGCAGGAAGAAGCTCAATGATAGGTTGTACATGCTCAGGTCTGTTGTGCCCAAGATTAGCAAGGTAAAAAAACTGAACTTTTTATAAATGATTATTAATTGTTGTTGATTATTGGTTTGTTTCAATGGTTTTTTGTTTTGGGAGTGATTGATTATATCATATGAAAGTAGAAATGGGACAAAACTTAATTTTTGAAGTATTTTTGGTGTTATTTTGAACTAAGACTGGAGTTTTACTTTGATAATTTATATAGATACTAATATAAATTATTGAGGTAAAATTTTGATTTTGATCGAAAAAGAATCTCTAAGTGTATCTAATTTTGTTGCTAGAAATATCTTGGAGTTGTGCCTATGGACAGAATTTGTTTTTTAAAAGTGTTTATGGAGAAAATTTTCTAAAGATGACATTATTCTTGGGTTCTCTATTTCCGGTTGTTGTCTCCTATACTGATAAATGCCATTTTGTACCTTATGTTTGGTGGAGAATCTGGTGTGGGTTTTTTATCTCGATGACAGTTTTAATGAATTTGTAGCGTGTTGGTTTGATTGATATTGCCACTGACTAGTTTATTAAGGTGGTTATGACAATTCCTTTGTGTTAGGGCTTAGGAATGGTGTATGCTAATGTTCTTTCATTTGTTTGTAGATGGATAGGGCTTCAATTCTTGGGGATGCAATTGACTACTTGAAGGAGTTATTGCAGCGGATTAATGATCTCCATAACGAGCTGGAGACAACACCGCTGCCACCATCTACTTCTACAAGCTTTCAGCCTCTAACACCTACCCTGCCAACCCTTCCCTGCCGGGTCAAGGAGGAACTGTATCCTGGCACCTTGCCTAGCCCCAAAAACCAAGCTGCAAAGGTAATTTTTTTATTTATTTAATTGCAAAATGGGTGATTGTACAAGGTTGTTGTAGCTTGTTGTTTGCAGACCATGCGAACTATGCTGCAATCGAAACTTCTAGAGAGAGAACTTGGAAAATTATTTAAAAGTTTGAACTGAATGATGCACACAGCCAGAAAATCCGGTAAAGGATTATAAGAGAAATTTCTTTGTCCGGCCATCCAACACAGCAGGGTCTAAATTTCTCAGAACTTTGAAACACACAATTGTATGCTTCAAACAGCAAGAAATAATTCAAATTTGAAATTGGGAGACCCTAAATCCTTGGAAATTATGCCTTGAAGAAGACAGAAAGAAGGGCTGGCTCGTGTAGATGAATTCCTTTGGCTAATCCATGCTGGCCTGAGCTTAATTGTTCTTTTGACCCAAAGGGTTATGGGGGCCAAACAGGGCAGCATGCCTAGTAAGGCCAATTTAGACAGAAAAGATCAGGCTGATCTGATTTTTTCCAAACAAGCTTTTCCAATCTAATTTGTGGCTGCCAAAGTGATTAGACTACCATTTGGGCTGACTGGTTGGGGTGATTCCAAAATTAATACTCTGTGTTGGAATGTTGTGAACTGAATCAAGGTCGAATTGGTTCTCTCATAGTTTGTGTGGTAATTTTGTTTTAAACCTACTTTTGTATAATTTGTATCTGAACTCCGACTAATATATCTGATTTTTACATGTCTTGGATTAGTATAATTATAATATAAATTAACTTGTAAGTTATAGCTAATTAGTATGTCTTGATGGCATGTGGTGGTGTTGAATGAGGATCCACAAGGTGTAGTGATAGGAAAAAGTATTGGTCAATGCTCCAATTTAGTTATCAAAGCAATGAAAAATTTACTCCCTCATACCTCCAGCACCCTTCTACTGCTCCTTCTTTCCTTGCGTGTCTTCTTTCTCAGTAAACAAGAAGTGAATACCCTGTAGTTGTATTCCTATCAGAGTCTAAGAAGAAACTAATGATAGCCAACTAAATTGATATATATATTTCTATTCTGACAAAATTTAATTGCATGGTGATTTACTAAATTGTTTTAAATTGCCTTTGGTACTTCTGATATTACAGGTTGAAGTTCGAGTAAGAGAAGGGAGAGCTTTCAATATTCACATGTTTTGCACCCGCCGACCAGGCCTTTTGCTTTCTACCATGAGGGCTTTGGATAACCTTGGATTGGATGTACAGCAGGCTGTTATTAGCTGTTTTAACGGCTTTGCTTTAGATGTGTTTAAAGCTGAGGTATAATTCTCTCTCCCAAGCTTCACTTAAACATATGTATTGTTAACTTACTTTTGCATTATGATGCTTGTCATTGATGCTATTTGGGCATTCGCAAATTATGCCAAATCACATTGATTGATCCAGATACCGAACCCTAGTTAGCAGTAGGGTGAAGGCTTGGTGGTGGTGGTGTAGTGGTTGTTGATGCCACACATTGCATATTCAATATTGATTTCTCGTACCTATATCTGTTTTGTTAGACAAATTTAATAATAAGTTGTCTTCCAAAGTTATGCTGACAATCTTGCAGCAGAGAATTGTAGCAATTATAAAATTATTAACAATTTAGGTTTGACTTTCTGAGTTTCATTTGATATTGGGGCTGAATCTTCGTATATTTGATTATATGAAGAGATTTAAAGAGAAATTTAAATAGGCTATGATGAAATGAAAGAAACATGACTTGGTAGCAGCAGAGTGGTTAGTTAAGAGTTAATTCATATAGACAACATTCTTGAGCTTGAGAGTCCTATCCCACTGAAATGCACAAGGGGTGTGTTAAATGATAGAAACCCCAGTTTTAGATCAGACCTTGGGTTGAAGTGTAAATATTAACTTTCATAACTGTAAGAAAAGTCTTATGAAGCTTCTCTCAGGTTGTTTATTGTAAAGTTTCTGGTGTTTAAATTGTGGGCTCACCAGACATTAACTGCATACTATTTGAAGTTTTGGCTTTGATGTAGTCTTTCTTGTTTCTTACCAGCAATGCAGAGAAGGCCAGGATGTCCTTCCTGAGCAAATTAAAGCAGTTCTCTTGGATTCAGCAGGCTTCCAAGGTATGATGTGACGGAAATGCTTGATAAATCCCCCCTTATGGAGTAACCAACGGTATTTGCTGTAGCTTGCAGTTTGTAAATGCATTGCTTCTTCTTCTCCTTTGTAAAGGCCTTCCTGTTTAGGCCAGATCAAATAGGCTAGTTAAATCTGTAGGTTTGAGGAGTTAACTTTGGTATTTATTTTCTCAATCGTGCTTTTGACAAAAGCTAACTTATGTTGTTTACTTTATTATTAAGGCGATGTCATAAATCCTTTTGTTTCTTTTCTTTTCTATTCATTCCCAATCTATAGATTCTTCCCTTTTTATCTTGTTTTTTTCAGGAGAAAGCCTCTTCTTATTCTTTCACTAATTTCAGAAGGGATATTCCATACACTATTAGCTGTAAAGTCAGCTAGCTACCTTAGCTTTCAATAGTCTATGCGTATCAGCTGGAATGTCAAGTAACTTAGCTATTGAACGAGTCAACCATATATCAGTCCAAAAATTCATAGGTTTTCATACTACATTTTCCCGAACTAAATGTAGATGTTGCTTAAAGCTCGACCAAGAAGATGATCTGATGTGGCATGCAATCAAAGAATTACTTTTAAAGATCCCAGCCTGCAGAATTATAGACCAGTCAAAATTTCCTTCAATTAGCTGTCAACCAAACCTTAACTTTGCAGTTTTATTAACATCAGAAGTTGATCTTATCCTCAGTAAGTGTTTGCCTGCACTTTCATTAGCTTAGCAGAATACGTGTCTCCAGTCCAGACAAAATTGCTAAGCCATCTATCAAACTCTTCGACCACAAATGCACCCGAAAACTATACAGCAACATGCTTTATATTTCAGACTACCAAGCATCACTCTCCTCATGTAAGATAGCTAGGATTCCTTCCAGCTTGCCAACTTTCTTTAATTTAGGTGTCTTCTTTGTGGTCTCCCTTGAAAACTAGGTACCCCAAGGCATATAATAGGAATCAAAATACCTGAAAAATCCCAGAAAATAAAGAAATTATGTTTCTTTGGCTAAACAGAACCTTGCTGCATAAAAAACTTTTGATTTTGAAGCACCTGTTGCATAAAGAGCATGTATGAAATTCACAACCTTTAGGACTTGCAAATGGGTGCGAGTTTCCATCCTTCAAGTTTAATGAGACTGCAAGCACCTCCTCTGCTATACAAAACAACAAAAGGGAGAGGAATCCCCTTTTCTAACTCCCCTTTTGCAACTTACAATTGGCCTTGATGGACAGTTTACCCGATAGAAGAATTATCCTCACCAACTTTAAATTTTCATTTGCAATACCTTTTTTGCTTCAAGACTTTGATTAAAAAATCCAGTCCAATGCATCAAGTGCCTTTGATATATCAAAATTTAAAGGAATATTTCTAGCATAACACTTCCTATCCAGTAGTTTGTGAGGCTATCAATGCCAATGGAGTCCATGGTACTTCTTCCTGTATAAACCGTCTGATTAGGAGAAATCATTTTACCCACCAACTTGGCCATCCTGTCAGCCATAATTTTAGGAATGATATGTCTGAACATACTACTTTTATCAGCACCAATCTCTCTAGGAATGAGGATCACTCGTTTTTTTGTTTTGTTTTTGTTTTCATGGTCATCCTAGCTTCTATCACTATTTTCTAGCTTTTATCTCTTGCCTTTAAGATTAATACATCTGATGTTCAAATTCTCTTAACTTGTGACTAGATGTGGGTGTTCAAATTCCGAATTTGCAAATTATAAATTTTATAACTCGTGAAACTCGGATCTGCAAAACTTGCGCCCGCACCTATGCCTCATAGTTCGCAAGTTTACTATGTTTGACAATAAAAAAATAAAAAAATACTTATTTGAAAATATAAAATTTCACCTCGTTTAAAAATATAATTATGATTGTTATTTGTTCAAAATAGTAACATAATCTGTATCTTAAAGCTACCAAAAAAATATTTTTCTATATCATATTTACTTAGTCTTTAATTTTACACTAACCTATGAAATATGAATAAATTTTTTATGATTAAAAATGACTTATTAATGTTATTAAAAACTTGCATGAATAATCACTGTTTTTTAAATACATAAACTAATTCTTAACTACAAAATAAATAAATAAATGAAAATATGTCTCAAATATCATATGTGATAAATATGATTACACTTATTTTAAACATAAGTATCAAAGGAACTAACACGGTTGATTCACCACATATTAAACTAAAAAAGTATGGTAAATCAAATATTTTATAATTTATTGTGAAATATGAATAAAATTTTTACAATTAAAAATGATTTATTAATGTTATAAGAAACATTGATAATTTTCTTCCAGTCTTAATCTCAAAGAGATCAATAAGAATGAATTTAACATAACCTGACTTACTTTAGAATGGGTAAGTGACTTTACAACTCAAACTCAATCTAACATAATTCAGTGTAGAGTCATTAACTCATATTTATTTTTTATTTTTCATTTTATTTAAATTTAATAAATATATAAAATTTGTATTATAAAGATATTATACAAAACCTCTTTAGACGCTGATAATACAAAGATATTAAATGAATAAATTAAATATGTAGACAATTCAAATACTCTTACCATAACATAAACATTCTAATCTTAAAAACTGAAGTGTAAACCTCAATAAATAAAGTTAGTAAATAACTATAAAATACAAATTAAAATGTTTCATGTAATTATTATTTATTTAAATGTTGAATTTGTATATTATTTTTTTACGTGAAATAAAAGTCTATGAGCCGAATTTATGAGTGAGTTTTAATTCTTGGAAGCCACTCTCCACAACAAAATTGAGATTTAAAATATGTAATGTCTGACCTTCAATAACATATTATTAGAAATAGAATTGAGGGAGTTTTAACCAAATCATCCTTCATAAACATGTTTCATATGTGGAACCCTCAAATATTCATGAAACATTATCAAATGAAAACTAAATTGTATTAGTGAAAGAATAGCTTAATTAATTAATGGAAAATGATGTTTGATCCTTACTTCACCTCCAACAGAAAAAATCATAACTGAAACAATAATTATGTATGAACAAGTGGGGAAAAATGGTAAAAAACAAAACTATATTAATAGTTCAAGACTATATAACCAATAGGAAGATATTGATTTCAGTGACAAGCTCTTGTCATTAGAATAGGAGTCATCCATCAGGATCATTCTCACTTTTGCAACTCATGAAAGTATAAAGTTATATTAGATGAATGTTAAAAGTGTTTTTCCAAGTTAATTTATAAAAGAGAAAATTTATTTTAAACAATCTCCCAATTTTGATGATCCTTCTCATACATACTACGTTTTAAAAAAAAATTATTTTTAAACAAACTTCTAAAATATGGTATGATAAAACAAACTCATTTCTCTTAAATAAATTTGAGATGCAAAATGGGTATTCAAGTTTAGTAGAAACTGATTTCATTATAATTAAAATTTTATGTAAATAATATTATATTTAGTACTACAACTGAATCGTTGTGTAACAATTTTTTTGAGATAATATAAAGTGAATTTAAAATAAGCATGGTGAGTAAACTGAAGTATTTTTTAGAATACAAATAAATTAAAATAGAATAAATGATATCCTCATCGACCAACAAAAATATATTAAAGAACGTGTATAATCAATTTATCGAAAATTCTACTTAAATTTTAAAGTAGAACATATCGTGATAAGCTATTATTTTATTCTAATTATGTTTAAAAGAGTATTTTTATGTAAAATTTGTTGATATGTTTATTTAAAGTAGTAAAAAAACATTTTAATTTGATATTTTATAAAAAAAATTATAAATATAAAGTTAAAAAAGCAGAAGTATAATTTATTTAAGTTCAATCACGCAATCTTAATTGTACTAAAGCTTATTGTTAATTTTTTTTTCCTTAAAACTTACTCTTTTTATTCTAACCCTTAGTTTGATCTAATTTTTGATGAACTTTAAAAATAATATTTTCACTTCCATAATAGTTTTCCAATCAAATTTAAAATTTTAAAAAATATAAAAAACTAATATAATTGATAAAAGATTGTTTTCTTGGTGATGTATACATACTTTTTATTTTTCAATAAAATTGTAGTTTTTGATATTTTAAAATGATTAAAATAAAATAAAAAACCTAAAATCACTATAAGTAATATAGAGCAAGTCACCCGCTGAATGAAACCTAAAATCCAATAGGGTTAGCAAACTACATGGCGTGCACCATCGACTTTCGCTGCCTTGACGAGGGTTTCGGCGGCAAAACCTACAAGCGCAAGAGGGAGCAGCAGTCCCAACCGCACACGGATGACGGTGCCTCTCTCATGGACACCGACGATGTCGTCCCGCCGCCGTCGAAGCGATCGGCGCTGCCGTCGTTGGAGAATCCGGACAAGCCTGTGTTCGGTCAGCCGAGCTACGATGGAGTGATCGCCGGGAGGGTTTCCGGTCGGAAGTGGAAACAGGTGCGGAAGCGGAGGGCGTCAGCGACGCAGGTGAGCCTGAAGGGGACGACGTTCGAGCAGAGAGAGAAGGAAAAGATGATTAAGAAGGCGTACAAAGAGAGGATGATGGAGCTGAAGGAGGAGATTCGGTTGAACAAGGTGGAGAAACGCAAGAAGAGAGAAGAAAGGGAGAAGAAGAAGCAGGAGAATATTATCAAATCAGGAACCAAGTTCCAGAAGATTACCAACCCTAACACCTTGAAGAAGATTGCCAAATCGAAACAGAGGAAGCAACTTAGAGTTGTTCCTGATGAATTGCTCAGGAAATAGAATATCCGTTTTGCTTTTTAAGTTTTTCAATTCAGTTTTTACATGATACTTTTTGGTGGAAATTTTGTAATATTAAGATTTCAATTAATGCTTATTATAAAATTGTGTTGTATTTTTAATTGTTATTTTGTTTTTATTCTCCCCTTCTATTGCACCTTCTTTCTTTCTTTGTGTCTCTTCGTTGTATTCCTATCAGAGACTTGGAGGAAACTAATAATCTCCGACTAGATTAATATGTATTTTTATTCTGACCGAATTTTATTGCATGGTGATTGACTATATTGTTTTTAATTGACTTTGGTGCTTCTGATATTATAGGTTGAAGTTGGACTAGGAGAAGGTAGAGCTTTGAACATTCACATTTTAACTCGACAGATATTCAAGTTAAGTCCTGTTCAATCACTTTGCATGATGGAAAGCTATAATGTTGGTTCATTTACATTGCATGATAGAAGGATATAGTGTTGATTCAATCACTCGACATATATTAGGTAACTAGCCCCTCTGAAAATTTAGGGACTATTGATGTGTGATGCAATGGTATCTGAATAGAATGGTCTTATGATACATAGTGCAGAGATTACTGATCGGCAATTGGCATGGTGAACTTTGTAAGGTAAAGCCTAATACGTTTTGTTATAGTTATTGGCTAATGATATAGCATATATCATTGACTATCTTATGTTCATATGCACTAGTTTGCTCTGTTCCGATTTTGTTGGCGGGTGATGGAGTTAGAGGAGGTAACACTTCTTATATCTGACGTTTTTTTATAAAAATGGTTAATTTCCATATCTAAACTGTCTAAATTTATGGGATATTTACTGATATTGTTTTCCTTAATGCTATGTTAGCTTTCAATTGAAAGATATGAAAGGATATTCAGGTGTAAGAGTCATTTTAAGACTTAAAAGCAAAACATAGTAGTCAATTGGCTTGTCATATCGTGGCTCAATGTAGCTGTAATATACAAACTTAATGGGGTGTAGATATAGCATATAAAGAGTGTAGATATAGCATACAAAGGGTTTAGATGCAGCTTACAAGGGGTTTAGATATCATTGACTATCTTGTATTCCTATGCTCTATTTTACTCTGTTTTGGTTTTGTAGCGGGTCTTGAAATTAGTAATGCCAAGAAAGTAATTCATTTTGTTTAGGAAATTTGGTTTGTTTAGTTCTCTGATTTATTTCCTGTTATGGTTTTCTTTAATGCTATATTATCTTTCAATCTCCAATATTGCTAGACTTAGGTGAAAGATTTAGATGCAAGATATGAAAGGAAAAATAGCTAACTCTTACTTTTTATATTCGTAGGCTTTTTAAAATATAGTAAATATTTTCATGTATAATGAAAATATGTTATTAAGTTTAAGTTTGTCTTGTGGTTCAATGAGGCTTTTCAAAATATAGTAAATAGTCATGTACAAAAATAATATTTTTATCCATATTCTTTTGACTATTAATAGATTATACATACTTTTTAAGAAAAATTAGGTAAAATAATTATTATCTAAATAATATATTAGATATGCAAAATTATATTTTGTAAATATCGACTTTTATTTCGTTGATTGTTTTTTATTTTATTTCGAGTAAAACATCATGACGTAATTAGTTAGTTTTATTTTTTATATAGTAGTAGTTTTCTTTTTACAGCAGCAAAATTACGAGTAATAATTTAATTAGCTAGTTTTTATTTTTTATAATTTCAGTCATATATTGAAGTACTTGGTTAACATCCAATTATAGAAAATTGATGTTTTATCAACTTTTATTAGAGAAGGGATAGGCCACTTCTACCAATATGCAGGATGAAACTTGATCATGTAGGGGTGGCTAAATAGGTTAGGCCGGTCGAGTTTGATTAAATATCACCCTAAACCTAAATACTCATATCTTATCCAATTTGTAAAAGATGGGATCAATTCATATTGTATAGGGTTTTATCTGATCAAAATTTAATTTAATATGTTTTAGTTTTTATTGAATCACATTGTTGTTTTTGGATAACCTAAGCTAATGAAATACCCCTATCACATGTATATTTTGTTGAAATAGGTGGGCTTCGATACTGAGTGTTATAAATTAAAAAATAGCTTGTTTTGCTTTGCAAGGGTTTTGAGTGGATCGAATTCACTTAATTCAATTAAAAAATCTTAAATTAGATGGAGTTATTTCACGTGTTTCTTGTCTACATCTCATCTCTAACCCAAATTCAATTTTGACAAAAATATTTGAATTGAGTCTAATTAAGTTCTCATGTGTGTTTATTGTTGATATAGTTTTGATTAATAATTATTTTTTTATTAAAAATAGTTTAATTTTGTAATTAAACGATTGTCTTTTGGTTGTATTTTTAATATGGATTCTCAATCAATCTTTATTATATCCAAAATCATCCATTCCAAACGAAACAGCTCACGACTCATTCATCTTCTATCATTACAACTAACCATTATAACAACTGTCAAATCAGGAATCATAATAGTGATTTAAACCGAGCATTTCTACTATGTGATCTAGACTAGTTTAGCTTAGATTTTTTTTCTTCGTTATGTCATGTTACAGAGGACCTCGTTTAAAAAAAATACATCCCTTGGTAGATAGAGAGGAATGATAGAGTTTTTTTATTTTTTCATGTGTTCAAAGAGTTGAACAATGAAAATGGATGACTAGTGCTAGATCGAATTGATCGGATCACGTAGGAACAAGATTTAAGCTATTAAATTTATAATTTAAAAGAAATATTATTTTATCAATATTTACCTGATTATTACTATTTTTAGAATTTTTTTTTCAATAGTATGCTATTAAATTTATAAGACAGAAATAACATTATTCTATTTATGTTATTACACAATTTTTAACTTCACTAATTAATATAATTTTTAAAATTAAATAATATTTATTAAATATAAATATATATTTTTTATAAAAAATAAATATATAAATATTATATAAATTTTAAAAAATTTATTTATATAATTATATGAAATAAATATAAATATTTTTTTAATAACATAAAAATATATTTATATAATTATATTATTAATACATTTTTTATAAATATAGTAAAAAAATATATTTAATATATATATATATATATATAATGTTTAAATATTTATTTATAATTTTATAAAATTTAATAAATATATTTTATTATATTATTAATATATTTTTAAAAAAATATAAATAAATATTTAAACATTATATATATATATTAAATATATTTTTTACTATATTTATAAAAATATTTTAATAATATAATTATATAAATATATTTTTATATTATTTAAAAAATATATTTATATTTATTTCATATAATTATATAAATAAAATTTTTTAAATATATATATAATATTTATGTATTTATTTTCTATAAAAAATATATATTTATATTTAATTATTATATTTAATAAATATTATTTTATTTAAAAATTATATTAATTAGTGAAGTTGAAAATTGTGTAATAAGATAAATATTGATAGAAATATGTTATTTCTGTATTATAAATTTAATAGCCTGAAAAAGAAATCTAAAAATAGTACAAATGATGTTATTTCTGAATTATAAATTTAATAACATACTCATAAAAAATAGTTTAGCTTACCTCACACTATCTTAGTTTTCAAAGAAATTTAAAATCAAAAGAGAGAAGAATAGTCAACGCACTTTTAACATGAATTTTATTTTTACTATTATACGTGACATTTTATTTTAATAATACGTAATATATTTTTGAATAACTATTTATCACGAAGATTGTTTAGATGATAACGTTTGTAATAAAGTTTGTTTTTCCCTAAATGTTAATTTTATTCTTTTATGTTTTGATAAATCAGAATTTAAAAGTCTCAATATAATAGTATATTATGGTTTTAAATTAATTCATTTTAGTTATTTAAAAAATAATATTAAATAGATTAAGAGAGTTGATTGACCTATCCGTCAACTTATTTAACATTATTATAAAAATGAAACTTGATTTTTTTTAATAAACATAAACTATTGAAGTGAACCTTTTTAAAAATATAAAGTATTAAATTGAAAGTTTTAAAATATAAAATGAAAAATTTTAACCTATACAATGAAAATACAAAACATAGCAAATTAAAATATAAATGAAAAAAATAGCATTTTGTTTTTATTATTATTATTAGTTATAGTCTAGGACTTTAAACGAATTTATCATAAATATTTAATAAAAATAAGAAAAAATAAAAAGAAATTTCCATAAATTAAAATTAACTCCTATAGAAACTCTACGTAATTTTTAAATTTTTTATTTCATTTCTTCATAAGCTATTATTGATTAGCTTTAAAAAAAAAAGGTTAATTTTTTTGAAGAAAAATATTATGCTTATCCATTTGATGCAATATATTTCTAAAGTATAATTGCATTTTTGTTCTACAATAATTTAATTTATTTTACACCATCTCAATGTAATTCAGGAGATATATGCAATTATACATAAAAAAAGATTTAATTGTCTCAAAAACTGTTTCTTTTAGTCTTTTTCAATTTACATGTTTATTAGATCACTCCAATTGTTCAATATTGTTTCTTCATACGAGTGGAAATGTAGAAAAGTTTTATCGATGAAAAGAATAATTCCTCATTTTTGTATGGTAAATTATCTCATTTCACATGTTTAAATTACATTACTCTTTGGTTTAAACTTATAGGGTTTTGTAAGAATAAAATATAATGAACATATGATAAAAACTATTACAAAGAAGTCTTTCTAAAACATTTTTTTTACCTTAACTTCTAAAAACTAATACATATGATTTTTTACATTTTAAATATATTTTTTAAGTACTGATTTATAATTATATGATATTATAAAATTGTTAACATTGTGATAACTAATTGATTTTATATATTTTATAATTTATTTTGAATTTAATATATATATATATATATATATATATATATATATATATATATATATTCCTTCTTATAAAGCAATTACATGATAAATTAACTTTGAACCAACATATATAAATTTTAAAAAATAAGAAGTCAATCTGAAAATAAATATTTATAGAAACCAAAATTAGATTAAATATTTATTAGGAACCAAAATTACATTCGGCAAATTATACGAACGCAAAATGAATATAAACATTGAATATGATTATATGATATCAAAATCACCATTTCATATTCAGATCTGTCAGATTTGCCAGATTGAAGGTTGAATCGATCAGTTTTATTTCAAGGAAACTAGATATGTTTAATTATAGAAAATTAAATTAATATTTTAAAAACAAAAAATGTTAAAGAATTATATAGAAAACCAAAAAGATGCCCCAAGTAAGTGAAATGCTCCTTCTTTCATTTCATTTTCAAACTAGTCAAGAAGAGAGACTGAAGGTATCAGATTTAGAGTATAATTATTGTAAAATTTATAGAGAAAATGAAACTCAACGTAGTCTATATACTATGTACAACAAACACTACAATATAAGGGTTTTGTGTTTGCTCTAATAGACATTCTTCTGATAATCGTGCTCACAGAAAGTTCCTCCAAGATCATCACAAGCCTCTGCTCGAAATACCCTGCAAAACACATTCACAAGATCATTAGGGTTATTCTGAATCCATGTCTAGAAATAAAGTCAATAAAATGAGTAAATAGAGAAATCAATCTTAGACAATCGTATCATGTTTGAACTAATTTTGTTATAAATTCAAATCAATTTATTCATTAATTATAAAAAAAATTATAAATAAAGTTTACAAATTAATTTATATTTTAAAAAAACAACTTTAAATGTTTTTCTTAATTTTATTTTTAAAACGATTTTAGAGACATATATCCATGTACAGAGGCCTCATATCTGTGTTAGAAGGTTTGGGCGAATTGCTCCCACGTAATCTTTAAATGAAAAGAAGAAGAAGAAGCTAAATATAAATGTTTTTATATGTTTCCCGTATATAAATGTTTATACGAAAAGTGTGTGAAAATTAATCTGAGATGATTTGGTATTTGTAGAAGGGTATTATCAATTTGCTTCATGAGAGATCTTACGTTTTAGGATCATTGTATTCAAGATACTCTCTCTCAACGTTCTCTGTAGAGACTCGTGGTGTGGCGCTCTTAGCTTGTGGCTGCACCTTGGCTTCAGGGTACATGTCTGCCATGCAGGTTTCCCCACCTATAGTTTCACATGCTTCTGCTGGAAACACTCTGAAAAAAAAAAAACCGTCAAAACACACAAACTCACACACTCCTTGGAATGTAATGTTATCTTACGAGAAGGAATGGCTTACGAGAAGGCTGAGTTGTAGTCCACTGTTGAAGTATCAGGCTCCGCAGTTGCAACCCGTATTGGAGAGAAACGAGGGGAGGAGCGTGGGGCTTTCAATTTGGTAGGGAAGTTGGTGAGATGGGTGAGACTTTTTGTGGGTGCAAAAGGCACAGCGTTGGGGGCAACAAAGGTTAAAGCTGTTTGCATCTTGAAGGTGTTGGTTTGGTGAACTTTGAGGTTGGATTAAGATGATGAGGAGTTGTGATTCCTATTTATAGAATAGAGTGGAGTGAGATAAGGTTTAGGATATAACAGTGTAAGAGACTAATGAAGTGAGATATTTAAGGTTTAGGATAAGGTTGTCTTTTTGTGTTGGAGAATCGTCCCGCTATGGCGGGTTCCATCAACTCAAGATATTTATTATGTATCTCTTGGACTTTTTTGATCATTGTAATAATAATATCTACCCTGACTTTTCTTCTTCACCCGATGGAGTATTTGTTCAGTTCTATACACACATTTTGCAGGTCTTATAACTAGAGTGATAAATAAATTGAACTTATTTAAGGTTGTAAATTTAAGTTTTGTAAATGAAGTAATTGTTAGAGAATTTTTATCCTTAAAAAATAAATATACCTCAAGTGATTCTTACCTGATTTGTTACTCCGTTGAAGCAGTAAAATTGATAAGCTACTGTTTAGGATAATTTTTTAAGGGCTAAGATAACGAAATAAAATGTAAAAAATGAGTTTGCTGATGAATGACTTAACAAAGCCATTCGTTCATGCAAGCAAAATTATTTTTGGGTTATGGAAATAGGCAATGGAAACGACATTGTTCATTTGGCTGTAAAACCGATTTCAGTAAAAGCATCTTCCACACATAACAAGTTAAGGAACACTGTTTGGGCTCGTGTATTCATGTTTCCAAACCGCTATGACAATGTACTAAGGAATCTGCTTTAATTTGTATCTACACAACCTTACATTTGAGAATTGTCTAATAGAAGAATAAGTCAAAGGGATCAACTTTGATGTTGAGACTGACCAATTAGTAGACAAGTGAAAAGGTAAATTCAGAAAAAGACGTCAAGCAGCAATTTGTGATAACAAACCCAGATAAGTAGTAGCAAGAGGAACAAAAGAGAAAAACATAAATAAAGGGGGAAAAAGAGGCTTAGCAACGAAATAAATACCATTGAAAATCTTGTTAAACAAAACAGCTCACTACCACTTTCTTTTATCGATCATCACATAAGAATATGTTTTTTTGCATGTACTTGTTTGGCAAATTAATACCTTACAGAAGACAGACATCTATCATACTATGGACTAAGCACTGTCCATTCCAAAACTGAAAAAATTATACAACAAACTTCTGTGCTCAGAAACCCTGTAGTGTGATTTCTAGACCGTACTTGGATTGGTGGAATTATGCATATTCATTTCAACATTTTTTTGACTTGGAGTTGAGATTTGTGCTAAGCTATGATAGCCGCGATAAATGAAGAAACAGAACGCTGTTGAGGAGCTAGGTCAGCAGCCCTCAGAAAGTAACTTCATCCCAGATTCTATAGAACACAGTTGGTCGTGATCAAAGAATAACAATAGACAGCAAAGGCACCATTTAGGCTTCAGATTTTAAGGAATGTCTCACACATACTAGATCATCCAACCTATTGCCATCCATTTTATACAGAGAGACTCCTTGCATCTGGTTATAATGATCCTGTGCTTCTCTCCTCAAACTCTCAAAAGGCATGACTTCCCATTTATTATAATTTGAATATTTCCTGACATCACTCATGTCTGGTGATCCTGAGACAGGGCCACTGTTATCTGGATCCACATTGCCCCACACATTACAATTGCCAAACTGCCCTAAATCATCACTCTGACCTTGATTCTTTTTCAAGCGCAAAGCTGCTGCATGTGCTTGTGTTATCATTTCTCTACTAGGTATATCTGACCAGTCTTCTCTCCTCTTAGATCTCATAGGGGAGTGAATCCTGATTACCTGACGATAGAACCCAAAGCCAAAACATTATAAAAATATACACACTAAATATATTGTGTAGAGATTTATAATTAATATAAATACCCCAAGACATTCTAAAAGTTGGTAATATGCTCTTCCTTGAAGTGGATTGTGTCCCTTCCTAGGCTTAGAGAAGTATCTTGTCCTGTAAGAAACAAATGATAAAAGGGAAGATAAAAGGTTTGAAGACGTTAGTATCACTACCTTACATGTAAAAAATAAATAAACATAATTTAAAAATGAAGGTTCAGTGTATCAAAATAGAGAAACCCACCATTCCGTGTATCCTGGATCAACAGTGAATCCATATATATCAACTATATCACACATAGAGAGCGCTAACTCAATAGATTTCATCCCAGTTCCTTTGGCACCTCGACGAAGTACAATTCCTTGGAAAAGATAGACTGGATTGGGTATGGTCTGTCATACAAGAAGGTTAAAAACATGTAAATAAACCTATTCGTAAGTAACCAAATATCCAGTTATTCCCATCTGTACTGATATGCCAAAAAGCATACAATAAAATAGATATCACAGAACAGATTCTCACCTTTATAACTGCATTGATTTCTCTGTGTGTCAGACTTTTGATTATGAGAACTTCATTGTCTGCAAAAGAACAGAAGTTTTAATCCTCTCGTTATATAGATATCATGAACTAACAGAGAAACAGAAACAAGGAAAAGATTAGGATTAAAATCTCCTAATATCTAGTGAACTTCTAGATTTCTACTTCCCATATCTTGAGCGCCCCCCAAAAAATCAGAGCTGTTAGACGCCAGATGCCCAGACAATATATTAATATATTTGTCAACGTTGTTATAGCAATCTAACATGTTACATGTTTATCACAATTGCAACTTCTTTTAAAAAGCCTAAATATATTTTTAGTCCCTCAATTTCATACAAATGTTTTTTTAAGTCCTTCAAAAAAAAAATCTACAGAAATTAGTCCAACAAATTAGCAGAAATTATAACTTCAAAAAATCCAAGCTATCACTCATCAAACAAATTTCATTTTTTAGAGGAAATGAAACTCATGACCCTTGCGCAAACACAACCTATCCAACAGAGCACATGATTTTTACACTCCCTCACTCACCCAAACAATTTTATATAACTTAGAAGAAGCAAATTTGTAACCCTTTTCTCGTCAACAAATTAGGGATTTAACAAAAACTTATAAAAATAAATAAAAAATAAAAACGGACAGGTCTAATAATGCAAGTCTTATTTTAAAGTGAATTCATTAATCACAAGTGTGACACGTACTCCATCTGCCACATAAGCAATAATACTAACCGATTGGCCAGAAAGGGACCAACACCACTAGTTTTAGGACTAATAATTTTGTTTTTCGGAGGACTAATTTCTACATTTTTTTTACTGACTAAAAAAACAACTGTAGAATTGAGAGACTGAAAACATATATGAATTTAAGTAAAACGTTAATTGTTTTCAGCTACACTGATTTAATGGTTAAAATTAAATAGCACCAACATCATGTCATCATCCAAAAAGGTAAGGTTGCTGCCCTGTGACTCGAAGGTCACAGGTTTAAATCTAGGAAATAGCCTCTGTTTGCAGAGATAAGGGTCATAAGGCTGCGCACATCCACCTTCACTAGATTGCATTATTTGGGAGCATATTGTACTGTGTATGATCATTTGTAATGTGCCACCTACCATCCTAATCAAGGGTTAGCATTAACTTCTTTTGATAACCATGTCTGAAATGGTAACATGGTTAATTCTTTGGTAGGGAAATACTCAAGAGACGAAAATATTATGATAGTTGTAGGATTGTAGCTCCTGAGATACTATTTTGCAAATAATGTGAGCAAAATGGACAAAGACCCAAATTCCATGGGTTGTTCAAGCTTAGGCAAGACAAGTTTGGGTCCAAATTTGAATCCCACTGACCTGAACAGTGATCTTTGAAATCATGTTTATGAGCTTATTATGCAAGTTTTTCTTTTATCTATCTCTATTTTCATATACGTTGTTGAATTTTAATAAGGTTTTAATAAGGTTGCACCTATTTAATAGTAATGAGAGAAATATACAATTTTTGCATGAGAAGTTCATTTGAAAATTCAGTAGGTGAGGATTCATTCACAAGTGTCCTGACAACACAAAACCCTGATCCTCATTCAAAGAAACCCCTCCAAGGGTGAAAGAGGTGGCTAGCTTTCATTGCCACAGGTTTCCAGCCTAAAACCCCGCTTATCAAGAATTCAGAACCCAGAGTCCAATAACTCCAGCTGCTGCAAATTAATCAATATTCTGAACCCAATGTGATCTCCAGGTCCAGATTTCAAGCTACATTCTACTGGTGTTATGTTTCAAAAATTTTGCCTAGTTATAGATATTAAATCATGTTCAGATACTATGAATCTATGATAGGATTTTTAAATATTATTTTTTTACCAGGTTAACAGTAAAATCTTATGAGATTTTATGGACACTCCAGAAGTTCACATAGACTCTCTCAAAGGTGGGAAAGTGCAATGAAGCCTAGTACCTAACATTCAACCATTCAATCGTAGATTTGTACTATTAAACTTGTATAATGTGATGAAACAATTCTTATGCTATAATAATACCCTTCAATATGTCATCTAAATACTAGAATTAAACACTCAAAAATAAGGTTGATGACACATTTTGTATACACATTTATAATTTTATTGTATCTTCAAAATATTTTTCGTATGTTTTATCTTTTAGATTTTTACCTTTTATTGTCTTTGCTAATAATTTGTTTTGTTCTGTGTAAATACTTTAATACCATATTTTTAGCTTCTATGACATTTGTCTCCTCTTTTAGCTATAACTTTTGCTACATACATATATTATTTTTGAGAGATTCCTTTTGTACTGGATTCTTCACATCCATTTGAAAAGAACGCATAATTTGCTACAATTGGAGTTTCATGCAATTTTCTATGAATTTTTAAAGTTTAGTCAAACTTGCTGTAAGTTTTCCTTGTGGAATTAGAGTAGAACATCTGTAATTAGGCTCATAATCATAACTTTGACCCATAATCATAACTTTGACCTATAATCAAGACCTATCTATTTAACACTAATCAGAGCTTTGAAATTGACTATTGAAAATACATTTCTAATTTGAAGAATTGTGCTCTCTTCTATTTTTCTATCTTAGGATTTCCTTTTTCTATTTTCTATCTTCTTTGTACTGTTCATCCATGGTTACTAATCATGCACCATCCATCTCCACTATGGAAGTTTGAACATCCAACGATTAATTATTTGCAACCATTCCACATTTTATTAAAGGCTAGATTATGAATCGCTTGAATTTGTTTTCCAATTGATGAAATTCAGATCTAATAATTGTTAGGGTTTAGTAAAGCTATTTGACGAAACCCTAAACCTAAACCAATGAACTATTCATTGTATGCATTTCATCTAGATTGATTACTACTATATTAATCAATTTAGAATCAATGATAATTGATCATTTAGTCGAAGTAGAAAATTAATCCGTGTTTCTTCATTTAATCCATTCCTAATTTTGTTCTTGATTAATTTTATTCAGGTTTGTTTTATTTTGTTTTCTGTTATATTTCATTTTATTTTGTTTTGAAACAAATTCCCATATGTTTTACATTTAAATTGTTAATGAACTACAATGTGTGTTTGATAAATTGCTATTAGTCATTGATTTTATGAAATTGAACCTACAGTTAAACGAAATCCTAATTACATTTTACTTTTAATTTATAAAAAATTGATGTACAACCTAAACATCAATGGCTTATTTGGATACGAGGTAAAAGTGTTTTTGAGAATTCCTCTACTAGGAATGTAGAGATTTTTACATAGAGAAGCTCCTCTAGTTTTGCATCCAAAAATGCTCATGGTGATTTCACAACATTTGATAGTAAGAAAGCATTCACAAAAAAACATATGACAAGCAACAACATCAAGGTTGGATATATATATATATATATATATATATATATATATATATATATATATATATATATATATATATATATATATATATATATAAGGGATCCAGTTATTTTAAGAATAAGAATTAATAACTTACTTTTCATGAGTTCCTATTTTAGATCATTAGAATACCAAAGAATGAATGACGAAGATGAAGAATAAATATGTAGGTTACTCTTGGAGTAAGTGGATTGCTTTGTTCTCTCTCTCTATATATCGGTGTGTGTATAGATTGTATGATGATGATGTAGAATTTAATCACGAATAATATTTATAACTGCTGTAGGACATGATAAAAAGGAATGCAAGAGTACCATTCACCCATAATATGAATTTAAAAGGTAAATAAAAACCAAAAAGAACACAAGGATATAGAAAGAAATTTACAGAAATTAGAGTAACAAAAAATTTCCCATGTAACAAAAGGAAGTAATCAATTACGTGATATTGCTACTAAGGCCAAGGTAAATGTCTTTTGGGATCGTTTGGCTTATTCAGAATAGTTTGCACATCTCAGGATTGATTAGTCGTCAATGAACACATTAAACAATTTAGGTGACTGAGAGCCCTCGCAGTCCAGGCATTTCTATAACTAAGATTCTGCATTTGATTAAATCAGAAACAACACTATCTGGTATAATTTTTCTAAAGTGACCATGTCTAATTCTATGGAGGAATTCAGAATTTTAAAACTCTTACAAGTTCATTCTCATCCTCATGCAGCAGCAAATCTTGTTCAAGTCAATTGGTATTCTTTCTAGTATAGGCTTTGTTAATGTTACATTTAAACTTTAGATAATATATTGTATGTCCTTGTAATTGTATAAATTTGTTTTCTCCTCCCGTATTCTGAATTGTAGCCTGCTGCCATCTATATGCACTATCTGCTGTTTTCTTTTCTGTCAGTGTACTCATTGATCCGTTTTTGATATATATATATATATAAACACAACTGGGCGTCAGTCAAAGTGTGCAATTCAGACTTTCCTCAATATCTTAAGTTGCTGTATCCCACTCTGCTGTTTCCGTCGTGTCAGCCACCATCCACCATCACCATGCAATACGCTGACCACCGTCAATTTTTTGTGTTCCGTTAATTTCTTCCAGCAGACTGACAGCTAGATATTACCTTTTTCTGTCATTTACAGGCAGTGGGCCTTCACTCTTCTCCTTTGCTCCTTGTTTGAAGGTGATTTATTTTCGTTTTTGGTTGCCAAACATGTTATGCTGGTCCAGCTCTGTCTTTTACTGTAACACCGACCAATACTACTAAAAATTCCATGGGAGAACTACTTGTCATGGTCCACATCAGTAGAGCTTTGCTTCCTTAGTCAATGATACCATGACCACCCAGAGAAGGAGGTAAGTGAAAAATATCATATGAAGATAAAGCTCAGTGGCAGAAAGTTGTTTTTCAACTATGTGCTGTGTTGTGGCAATTTATGGAACCCAATATTTTGGGAACAGTGAACTTTTTAAGACTTGCTGCTCTTTTTGAACGAAGGCCAAGCGGAATTTTTCCAACGATGTCTTGAACTTTGCTCTTGTATGCACTTTTTTCCATCACATATTTACAAAGAGTGCAATATATGTGCAAATATACTTGTGGTTTTGAAGATTTTATTGGTTTGATGTTATGCCAAAACTTATTACGGAAAGTTTTTCTATGAACGGGTACGGGTTACCCGAATTTAGATTTTCTTGATTTTGTTATCATAGTTTCGGTCTGTCCCCTCATGTGCTTGTTTGTAATTCTTTTTCTTAGCTTTTATATACATTTTATCGTGCTGCAAAGGATAGATGGACATTGAGGATCCAACCTAGTTGGGATGTCTTTATTCCATAGTAAAGCTATATTAAAGCTATATTTCATAGTGTATCCACTTGTGAATGGTAGAGATTGTGATTAGATTCCCAATTCAACTAATATGGCCCAAAATTTCTATAGAAGTTTCATATTTTTGTTTAAATATTTTCAAAAATAATAACTTACCAGATCCGTTCAGAATAGGGACCATGTTACGAGCAGCACCTCTTACAACTAGTCGGAAATCCCTCTTAAGACCAACATATTTGGCATATTTCTACACAATCCATAAAGAGACAAAATAAGTATCAGCAAATTTTTTTAATAGCGTATCAGCTACATGCACTACAAACTCTAATACTCTATATCACTTTTTGGCACCTTGTTCAGAAGTAAACAAATAATGGTTGGATATTGCCGTAGCAGGTGGTCGGTTCCATCTATGCTTGGATAAACTAACAGGATATCACGACAATGGAAATTGAAGATGAGATTGTTAAAAATTTGCCCCATTATGTATGGGTTAAGAGGTTTACCTCATTAACAGGGGCCTCATTGTCTCGAAAAACAGCATCATGACTATCAATTTCTTTGCCGAATTCGGTCTTCAGAAGGTCTCCAGAATTCCCAACAACAGCACATGTTCGAAACTGCCGTGGGTGAAATGGGGGCTTTGCAGGTAATAACACATTGAGGTTCTCTTCGCAAAGAGTCTTGTTAGTGCACTTCTTTGTCCCCCTACAAGAAGAAAAGACATCACCATACACACTAACCGATAACACATGCAACCCAACAACATCAGCATTTACACAAAAACTTGAAATAAGGTTTCAAGATCCATACAACTGTGCTATCCTTTGTGGAGCGTAATCCACCCAACCACCAGGTCGAGAATCAAGATACTCTCTGGTCAACACAGTTGTCATGTTCCGATACTGCAACATCACAACATTTCAGCTCTAGTAAGTACTCATACTGAAAGTTCGACTTAAGCAAGAACAAAAGGGGTGTCATGACAATGTACCTGTTCCCACAACAGGATTGCCTCACACACATCATAACTGTACTCCAACGGCTCAAATTTCTTAAACTGTGCATTGTACTGCAAAAGTATAACATTGAAAATATAAAAAACAAAAAATCAGCAATTTGGCTATTAACCGAACATTAAAACAAATAAGAGGTCTCAGGACTCAGGATTTAGGAGACAGGAAGACATACCCAAGTGCTGTTGGTACCTTCAGGGTATTTAAGGATCAATTTACAATGGTCAATGATATGAGCAGTGAGTCCTAGACCCCTGTTATCCTGTTTCAATTCCCAACCTCAGCACATATCTTAACAAACCTAAATTCTATTTTTTTTAAATAAAAAATACAAGACTTAGATTCAGTTGCTTATGTGTTTTTGAAGTTCGGGTTCTATCAGGATTGGAAGTGAGTGTAATTGGAGTTACACCTCGATAGTATTGAGAAATTATTAGATAAATAAATAATCATATCAGTATTATTCACCAGGAAAAAATGCTTCAGATCGAACAGTTACCACACATTGCTGAACACTGGACTGAAAGTTAGACAAGACCCGGATCATTTCGGAGTCGCGATCCGAAGAGACGGAGCCTGAAAATGCGAATTAAAGAGAAATTAAGGAAACGGAATTAGAATGATTAATATTATTAGGTCTGGTGTGGTTACTGTGAAAAATACCAGCAAAGAAAGAGGATTGGATGTAAAAGAGGAGGAAAGAGAACAATGCCGCAGCGAACACCAGATAAAGGACGGTGGGTCGCCGGTTAAGGACTGAAACCTGCTTGTGCTGCCTCATTGGTGTTTCGATCACGTGCAGAGAGAAAGAGACAGACTAATGTAATCTACAACAGAATGAAAATGTGGCAGGGAAGACGAAAACCTTCATCTCCCCGAAACGACGACGTTTTTGCTATGAAGAACGTCACCGACTTTATTTGCTTGAGATGGAAGAAATTGAAGCGCAAACGCAAGCGAGTTTGGATTCGCGTTCTGATTGACGGGAGAATCGCGTTTTCACCTGATGCGAAATCAGAGCAGGGATTACTGATTTATGATGCATAAGTTGAGTTCATTATGTTTTAGATCTATATTTTTGGGTAAATAACATTGTATTAAACATGGTCAGTGGGAAAATGTAATATTAAATTAAAATTATTTTATTATCTATAATTATTTTATATAATTCTATAAATATAATTTATTTAACCTGATCTGGAATCATTTTATTATTAAAATATAATTCTATAAAATAAAATAATATTAAATTAAAAATATTTTATTATCTATAATATATATAATTATTTTTAAATTAAAATTATCATAACTAAAAATAATAATATAAATCTGGTGTTCAAACATTCTGTTGTAGATTACATTAGTCTGTCTCTTTCTCTCTAATTCAAATTCCTAAAAAATATAAATAATATAATAAATAATAAAAATATAATATAAAAGAGAGAAGAGATCTCTAGATCAATAGATAGGATAATTAGAGAGACGTTATGAATAAATAAAAATATTAGACTTTCTACATCGATTCCTTACAATCTGATGTGAAAAGTCACACTTTCTACATCGATTAGTATCTACATCGGTTAGAGCCGATGTTAAAAGCCTATATTTTACTTAGTGATTTCTCAAAGTTAACCAATAATATTACGGAAATACTTCATTTCATAGTTACTGAACATACATGATAAAACGAATAAAGTTTTTTTTTTTTAAATGACAAAGCTGACGAATTAGAAATCCTAACCTATTTCATGGAGATGAACGGAAAATCAATAGGTTAACTCATCCATTAATTATAATTAATAATTTAAACTTAATTGTAATTAATAATTTAAACTTAATTGTTTTATCGTCTGTTTTCATTTTTTCTTATATTCAATAAAAAAATTATCTTCCTAATTACAAATATTACTTATTTTCTTTTGAAAATGTCAATAAAACTAAATAAACTTGGAAGAACAGTTTTGATTTTGACCTTTTTGTTTGCTTGATTTCTAGTTTTTTTTTCATCTTGTTTTACAAAACTTAATCAATGTTTCGTGATTCAATTTCATTTTTTCACTAAATTTTTAAACACTTTTAAGACAAATTAAAATGTTTGTAACATTTTATTATGAAAAATTATCAAATAGAAAGTATCATATAATTTTTTTATATGATTATTATAATATTTATAATTTTAGTTATTTGATACTCATAAATAAATTAAATATTTATATTTAAAAATTATACTATAAATTTACTATCATGTTTTATAAATATAGATATATTCAGTAAAATATAAATAATTAAGTTTAGATATATAATGTTTGAACACCCATAATATAAAACACCAGATTTATATTATTATTTTTAGTTATGATAATTTTAATTTAAAAATAATTATATATATTATAGATAATAAAATATTTTTAATTTAATATTATTTTATTTTATAGAATTATATTTTAATAATAAAATGATTCCAGATCAGGTTAAATAATTATATTTATAGAATTATATAAAATAATTATAGATAATAAAATAATTTTAATTTAATATTACATTTTCCCACTGACCATGTTTAATACAATGTTATTTACCCAAAAATATAGATCTAAAACATAATGAACTCAACTTATGCATCATAAATCAGTAATCCCTGCTCTGATTTCGCATCAGGTGAAAACGCGATTCTCCCGTCAATCAGAACGCGAATCCAAACTCGCTTGCGTTTGCGCTTCAATTTCTTCCATCTCAAGCAAATAAAGTCGGTGACGTTCTTCATAGCAAAAACGTCGTCGTTTCGGGGAGATGAAGGTTTTCGTCTTCCCTGCCACATTTTCATTCTGTTGTAGATTACATTAGTCTGTCTCTTTCTCTCTGCACGTGATCGAAACACCAATGAAAATTATAAATATTATAATAATCATATAAAAAAATTATATGATACTTTCTATTTGATAATTTTTCATAATAAAATGTTACAAACATTTTAATTTGTCTTAAAAGTGTTTAAAAATTTAGTGAAAAAATGAAATTGAATCACGAAACATTGATTAAGTTTTGTAAAACAAGATGAAAAAAAAAACTAGAAATCAAGCAAACAAAAGGTCAAAATCAAAACTGTTCTTCCAAGTTTATTTAGTTTTATTGACATTTTCAAAAGAAAATAAGTAATATTTGTAATTAGGAAGATAATTTTTTTTATTGAATATAAGAAAAAATGAAAACAGACGATAAAACAATTAAGTTTAAATTATTAATTATAATTAAGTTTAAATTATTAATTATAATTAATGGATGAGTTAACCTATTGATTTTCCGTTCATCTCCATGAAATAGGTTAGGATTTCTAATTCGTCAGTTTTGTCATTTAAAAAAAAAAAAACTTTATTCGTTTTATCATGTATGTTCGTAACTATGAAATGAAGTATTTCAGTAATATTATTGGTTAACTTTGAGAAATCACTTAGTAAAATATAGAGCTTTTAACATCGGTTCTAACCGATGTAGAAAGTGTGACTTTCCACATCGGTTGTAAGGAACCGATGTAGAAAGTCTAATATTTTTATTTATTCATAAAAGTCTAATATTTTTATCCTATCTATTGATCTAGAGGTATCTTCTCCCTTTTATATTATATTTTTATTATTTATTATATTATTTATATTTTTTAGGAATTTGAATTATTATCAGATTAAGAGAATTGTCATCGACAAGATTCGAACCCGATACCTTAGAGTCGAAGGTCGATACTCCAACCATCGAGCTACTTAGGATTTTTCGATAATAACTTATACATAAATTATATTTATATACAAATAAAAATGTATATCCATGTAAATATATAAATATAAAATATATAAATACAAATACAAATATATTTATATATTTATATGTTGGATGTGAGGGCGTCTCGAGGATGAAAGTGTGTGTCGAGTGAATTTTCAAAATTTGATGTCAAATTTGTGAGCGAGTCTCTTTATATGGATTATAACTTAATGACAAAATATAATCTTTATAATTTATTTATATAATGATATAAAATAATTTTTTTCTTTATTTTATATCATTATATAATTAATTATAAAGATTATATTCTATATTATTATAAATAAATTTTAAAGATTATATTCTATTATTAAATTACAAATTCATATAAAGAGACTCAGCTCACAAATTTGACATCAAATTTTGAAAACTCACTTGACACACACTTTCACTCTCGAGCGCAGCTCTTACATCCAACATATAAATATATTTGTATTTGTATTTATATATATTTTATATTTATATTATATATATATATATATATATATTTATATGGATATACATTTTTATTTGTATATAAATATAATTTATTTATAAGTTATTATCGAGAAAATCCTAGTAGTTTAGTGGTTAGAGTATTAATCTTTAATTCTAAGGTACTTGGTTTGAATCCTACCAAGTAATAATTTTCTTAATTTTATAAAAAACTTTCTACATCGGTTCATCCGAGAACCGATGTAGAAAGTGTTTTCTACATCGGTTCCTAACTAAACCGATGTTGAAAGTCTTGAATTCACTTTTTACATCGGTTCTTAAAGAATCGATGTGGAAAGACCGATGTTAAAAGTGATTTTTGTACTAGTGAACACAATTTTTGATTGGAATTCAACCTAACTTCACGTCGTAAACAATGATATAGATTGTTAATGAGCCAAAGATTAAATATGATGTATGAAAGGCAAAAGCAAAGGAGAAGAAGAGGTATAGTTAATGTAGGGAAGAAAGTCAAACGTAGTCATAAATCATTCTTTAAACTCAATTGTTATGGAATATTATGTTGGTTTAAGAAAAAAAAAAGTTTGACTAGAACTTAAAAAAATTCACATTAAAAAATAACAAAAAAAAAAAAAGACATGTATTGATCTTATGTATAATGAAGCGTTTAAATAATAATTATTTTTTTCAGATTTTTGTAAAATACCCTGTAGAAATGATAAATATAAACAAGAAATTAGAGAAAACACTATTTTTTTTTTTCTAAATCCTAAACCCTAATGTACAACATAAGGTCAATTTTTCTGACTTGTCGAAAAGATAAAACTTAATTATTTGAAGAATACTAGTTAACAATAGTATATGATGCTTTACCTTTTCAAAGAAAAATGGTTGACAAATAGAACTTAATTATCTTCGGAAACAGTACCATGAGATAGTTATGCACAGAAAGATGCTAATCCATATAGTTTGAAAAAAATCTTCTAATAAACTATTGAACGCTATGATGGAATGTAGGTTAATAAAACAATTTTTATTTTAAGTTATGTGATAATATTGCTGTAAAACTATCAAATACACAGAAATTTTATTATATATAAGTTATAAAAAATTGAGTAAAAAGATGGTATACACCTAAATTAAAATAAATTAATCTTTATCCAACTTAATCCATTATCTAAATTGACTCATATGGACATGTTAATTTATAAATAATAATAATAATAATAATAATTATTATTATGATGTTAAAAAATAAAAAAATTATTTTATATAATTATAAATAAATTATTATATTTAAAATTAAAATTAATTTTATTAATATAATTAAAATTTTAAATATTTTTTCAATACAGTTAATAATGATATAACACTAAATTAAAAAAAAAAAACTCTTAGTGCATTCATAACGGTAATAATTTGATATATAGTAAATTAATGATTATTTCTTTGTGTAAATCATATTTATCTAAAATGATAATATTACGATTTTTAAAATGAATTCTGAACTTTTTTGGATTCGTTTCTAAGCTTTCCAAAAATATTTTGAAAAACTGATTTTGGAACACTTCCTAAAATTTAATACAAAAAATTTCTAAAAAACATAATTCAGAAATAAGTTTTGGATTTGTTGAGTTCAGAAATAAGTTTGGAGATGTTAAGTCTAAAATAAATTTAAAAAAATAATTTAAAAATAAATTTTAGATTATTAAATTTGACATATATTTAAAAAAAAATACAATCAATAAATAAGTTTTAAATTAGTCTGTACAGAACTCATTTCCCAGGTTTTTTTTTTAATTTACTATGAATTTAACAATATAAAACATAAGTTTTAAATTAGTCTATGCAGAACTCATTCCCCAGTTATGTTTTTTTTGTTTGTTTAATGTACGCAGTTAAAAATACCATCAAATATCTAAGGTTGCTTTATTCCTACGGCGTATTGGGCTCCTTTTAAGCTTAGATTATTATTTTTTTTAAAATTAGTAATTTCATTATTATTGCTTTATTTTTTTTCACACTAAACCGCTAATGACATGCTTCTCGTTAAAGTATTCAAATGATTTTAATCGTAAACTATTTCCTTCCTAGATAGCATATAGGATTTTTAAAATACTCACCAGTTTTTACTCTCATTTTAGCTACGAATTCTGTTCTTTAATAAATAAACAATGTCGAACTAAAATAAATTTTTATAATTAAAATTGAAATACCTTTTTTTTTTTCTTAAATAAATTACTTCAGTTACAGAATACATTTTACCGGGGAGGATAAAAAAGAAAGGAAAGAAAAAAATCATGCAATCAGTGGAAAAAAGAATGTTTTCCATATATTCTTCCTGATTCTCCTCTGGTTCACCTGATAACAAGAGAGGAAGTATCATAATTTTGGTTCGATTTTCTTTTATAATACCTTAAAAGCTTTCTTTCATTTTAATATATTTCCTATCAAACACAATGATAAAATTCATTCAATTTTCTCCTAATTTTTTCCCTTTCCTTTCATCTTTTCTTAAACGAAAACACAACCCATTACTAAATAGAATTCCTTGATAAATTAGAGTGGCAACTGGTGACAAAGAACTGACAAGTATTTTGAACATAACCACTCAAGCAATGAATCAAAGGATTCAAATTTGATATCCAGTAACATGATTTGAAATCTTTGACATAATCAGTACCAAAAACAAGAGAAAAATAGCATTTGAGCTTTGAATCTCCTTATCTGGCTTTCATCACCAACAATAATAGGATAATACTTGCCATTTTCACTCCAAGTTAAAGATGAAAGGTTGAGGATACATCAACAAGCTTCCAAATATGTAAAAAGTGACACCAACATGTAACGTAATAGAAAAAGATCAATCATCAAATGACAGAAGCTTGTTCTAATGAAACTCCATATTAACCTCCAAAGTTTTATTGAGATTGTTTTCAAGCTCTTGTTGCTCAAATCAAATTTCAGGTCCCCATCACAGCACAATTGCGGATAAAGTGATTGAGCTGAATGCTGCCACTTCCAATTTGTCTCCACCTCAATTTCTCATCAGCAGGATCAGGGCAACCAGTGTACATACACAAGGCTCGCTCTGAGTGTGACACACAAGGTGCCCCAATCACAAGTAATTCATCACCTAGAGATTTGAAAGCCACGCCCCAACCTCCTTGTGCATCAGCTCTCACAGGAACCACTCCCAAAGTCTTCCAAGAATTGCTTCCCTTCACATACATTTTCAGCTCATTGGAAGAAGCATCCAGTGTGTACAACTCGTTGTTGACAACAGCAAGAAGAGGTGGACTCTGTGCAACAAAAAGAGGAATATCCTTCCACATGTCAGGAATCAAGTTCCAACTATTTGTCTTCCCATCAAAGAATTCCCCACATGTGAGGTCCCTCCCATGCTCATCTTGCCCTCCAAGGACATAAAACTTGTTATCCATGAAGCAACCGGAGCAAAACCTCCTCCTTTTGTTCATCCTTGGGAGGGGTTCCCAACACTGGCTTTCAGAGTTGTACTTCTCAGCAGAATCCAAGACTTGGGTGTAGGTTGTTGCATCAAGACCCCCAGCAACAAAAGCAATAGCACCACATGTGGCTGATGCAAAAAGACACCTTGGGTTGATCATAGATGGTCCTTTGAGCCATTCATTATTTGTTGAATCAAACCTCCAAATTACAGCTCCATGGATTTCCTTGCCTGAAACTAATAGGTGGGGTCCTGCACAAAATGACTCCTTGTCTCCAAACTCGAAACTATAATCTGATTGAATAGGAGGGAGCTTCCTGCTTGACTTGAAAGGCCACTCCATTCCCCACCAATTGCTCTCCCCACTAGCTAACATGAATACCGATGGTTCTTTGAGTCCTAACTCTTTCCTTATTTGGTAGATCTCGCCACTCCTGGCTAGCGCCAAGAACCGCTTGTTTAGAAAGCACAATTTCCAGTGCTGCGACCTTGGAAATCTTGCAAAGATTGAAGTCTCTAGCTCGTCACTAATACTCAGAACATTACTATAATCTGCATCCTGAGGTAAAGGTTCATCTTCATTAGTAGAGGAACCATTGCCATCTGAGGGTGATAACTCCAGAACTCTCATCTTTTGGGCACAACGACTGAAACAAAAGCCACTAACAATGGTTGAGACAGGTAATGCTTTTTTACTGTTCATAATAGATCATTTGTGGGAAAATGCTCCTTCAATATGCCCTCTGTTAAACGTTGATTGAGCCTCTTATGGCTAATGAAATTGTCTTGTAACTGCAGACAGAAAATCCAGGCAAAAAATATCAGCAGCAACAACAAACTTGCAGACATATGAGGGCTACCATCATGAACAAAAAAACAGACATAGACCAGCAAACAAGAGTAAACATAAAAAACCTTCGTCATGTTTTTTAAACATTAACATTCCAAATTTCAAAAGAAAACCAAATCAGACATTAAGAAATAGATTGAGTTTTCTTTACAGGTAAAAACGATAAGAACTCTAATAAAATACAAATAAAGCTTGTGACGTGTATGGATGTGTAAACACTGATTTACCTTAGCATTTCCATTTGTTGATTAACAAAAGTTCAAGAAATAGAAGACTAATGGGAATTTCAGCCACAGTAAATAAAGCTTATTTATAGATGAATACAATCGGAACAAATTAATTTCTCAATGGATTAAGAGATACTTACCCTAATGAAAGACGCCCCCAATAAAAAACTAGATTTCACATCATGAAAAGTTGGTGGATGTATCGGCGTTCATAGATGATAACCGACACATAAACATGCGAAGAAGGAGATAAGGACCAAAGTTGATTAGGAAGGGAAAGTGTAAAAAAGTGAAGACTTCGAGACATGGGTTTAGGCCTATTTATTCAGCTATTAAGAAGAGAATAGTTCATGACACAACTTCCCTTATAGATAACATATAGACCAAAAGAGAGAGAAGAAATAAAAACAATTTAAAAGGAGAAGACAAGTCAAAGGCAGCAATAAATGGCGTGCGAGGGTTACACAACATGCAATGAAAACAAAGAGAAAAGAGACGTTAGGAGTGAGCTGAAGCTAACACCAAGGCAACAACACCATGACATATCCCATGTGAGGTTGAGTTGAGGAGAGAAACATGGAAGGAAGAATTGAAGGAGAAGCCAAAAGTTGAGTTGGTGTGTTGAAGGAGAAGACTAAGATGGTGAAGAAGAAGAAGTAGTGAAAGAGATCCAAGAGCCACCCACCATTTTTGCTGGAAACATAAGCTTAATTTAGAATATGCTTTTATATTTGTGGAATAAAAGAGCAACCCAAAAAACCATAATTTAACTATTTAAATGGCAGTGTCATCAACTGCACCATCACCATCTTATTTATTTAATTCCCGATTTAGGAAAAGAGAAGAGGGAGAAGGAGAGAGAAGTCACTGTGGGAGTACAGCAGTCCAATGTGAAATAATAAAAGAATGAAAAAAATAATGTTACGAATAAGAAAGGGACATGGGCGGCTCGGCCTCTTTCTCTCTCACAAACTGTTTGCGTGGAAGAGTAGAGAAAGGAAACAAAAAAAAGGTTAAATTAATAAATTTTGTATTCGTTTTTATTTTTTTATTTAGAAACTATTGTTTTTCATTAAGTCACGTGTGGATTTTCATATTGAATATTTTTCATTTCTCCAAAATAACATTATTTAAGCTTAGTTAGGTATTTGGTTTTAATATTATGAATAAAAATAAAATATAGATAAAAGAAATTTCACTAATTGAACCATTTATTCATAAAAAATATTAACATTTCTTAGTTTCTCCAATTCTATTGGCTTAAAAAAAAAGTAACTAATGCATGTCTAGGTTGAAGTAGGATAAATAACAGTGGATTAGTTATATAAAGAGATTTTATATTATTATTGATCCACAAATTAACTTGTATGGTAATTTTGTTAAGTTTCATAATAATTATTTTATAATATCTACATGATTGTTTAAATAAAATATTTCTTTTAATTTTGTCTTGTATCGAGAATAGAACGTTGAAGAAGGTTTTGGTGTGATGCGAATTTTGGTTGGTGGACGAGGCGGTGTTGAATTCAGGACCAGGCTAGCTGAGGAGGGTACATGATAGAGGAAGTATATTAAGATGATTTTGTAAATAGCACAATTATGCACAAAATAAAACATTTTCATTAATTGTTCTTCATTAATAACCTTCTTTACCACCATTTGTTCATTGTAACTGATTATTTCTTTATAAATAACATAATCATTTAATTTTTTCTTTTAATAGTACATCATGTTGTTTATGCATTTATGTATAAATCAGTAGATTTATTGATTGTATTAAGATTTGTATTTTTTTTCTAAGTGTGTTTAGTTTGAGAAATGAATTTCAGAGATAAAGAAAAGTAAAAAAATGAAATTGTAGAAAAAGAGTGAAAGGTGGTAAAAAAAATGAGTAAAACAAATAAAAGATAAAATTGATTAAAAGAATTAAATAATTAGATAAGGTGATGAATTGCTAAAATATCTTTATGTAAATTTCAATTAAAATTAAGATATAATTATTTAAAAAATAGATAAAATGTTACATAAAATAAAATTAATTTATACATAAATTATAAAAAAATTTTGATATTTTATAGATATATTTAATTATTTTAATATTTTTATAATAATTTATAGTAATATTAAAATTGTAAAAATTATTTAAAAAAATACAGTGTAATTATTTTATAGGTTTTTATAACATTTGAATTATTAAACATATAAGTTTTTATTTTTTATTTTAATAAACTTGTATTAAATGATAATGGTGTTTGTAAAATTTAGAAGAGTGAAATTGTGTATTATATTATTCAATTTATTTTTTTCAAATCAGAAAATAATTTTATGTTTCTAATTATATTGATTATGCTAATTTTTAATGTAAATAATATATATTATATTACTATAAATATATGAAGTATCATATAAAATTATATAACTTTAAAAATATTAATTAATAGTTATGAATTTATGTATTGCATTTAAAAATAACATTAAAAAACTTTACACACTATTTAAGTTTTTTCCTTTATTTATTTATACCTAACCTTCATGTATGTTATTTTATATATGAATATGAATTATGTATTTAATTCAATCAAAATAATATTAAAGAGTGTATTTTAGTAGAATTAATTTTACAAAATTGAATTTTAAGAATATAAAATTTAAACTTTCACTTAGTAAAATGTAAGCATAGTAAAGAAATATAAATTTTGATGCAAGATAAAAACAGTATTCATATTTTAATAAAATTTGGTTATTTTATTTGTTTATCAAAAACAAAAGTTAAGGAGGTCAAGGCAGTACAAACAATATACATCATATTAAATAATTTTCATTGCCTTTTATGCTCAGGAAGAAGAGAAAAAAATATATATATATATATATATATATATATATATATATATATATATATGAAGAGAATTCCACCAATTTTTATTTTTAAAATCATAGCAAATGTCTTCGTATAAGTATAAAATTTTTCTTTAAATATTCACATTCAATTCTTCCTATTGTAAACCAATTTGTGTAAGTGATTATGTTTTAAAATAGGAATAAAAAGAAAAACATATGTATCATTTTTTGACTTGGATACACTCATCAATATAATATAGTAAAACACTTTTAGCAAATCATCTACTTTTGTCCATTTTTGTTACTATTGTGTTTTTAAGGCATGAAACATTTTTTTCAAAATAATTGTATAATGATTTATATCTTCTAACATTGTTATCAAAATGTTCTTAATTGTTTAAGATCAAGAAACTCCTTATTTATACTTAATAATACATTTGATTGTTCCTTAGTTATCTTAAATTCTTCTTTAAACTAATCCTAAAATTCTTTATATAATTTTAAAATTATGATTTTAGCAACAATCATTTATTAAACATTAAAATAAACATGACTTAACTTTTGTCTCATTTATTTTTCTTTCTTTTAGAATTTTAGCAACAATCTTTTCAAAAGTCATAAATTTTAAATTTTTTCTTTTAATTATGGAAGAGTGACTTTTTGTAAATTTTTTATTTATTCATTATATATGTCTTATAGGAAGGGTGATTAAAAAAAATAAAACACAAAAAACCCATTAATAACTAATTTAAATAAAAGACAATTAAATATAATTCTCAACAAGCAATTAAGAGTACCTAATAAATTGTGTTTGATTTACAACTTAGATATAAAATTAAATTATCAAATTTTTACCAATATTTTAAAAGAGTCATGGTTTTTTTTTACTAGTCTAATCTTACACAAGGCTTACAAGTCAATATGTTATTTTTGTTCTCCTTAAACAAAAAAAGTCATAATTTTACACAAAAATAATTTATCCAAGAAACTAATACAAAAATAAAAAGTTAATTTTAAATATAACTAAAAAAAAAATAATTTAAAAGTTATATTAATAAAAATTAATATTAATCTTAAATATATTAATGTGATACATAATTTAATATATATATATATATATATAATAATTTTAATATTTTTTTTAAATAATAATTATGTTATAAAACTAACTAACTTAAAAATCAACACGTGAATATAGTATATAAATTCATTTAGATCACGGGTTAAAAAATTTAACCCAAATTAACCTAATTTATTTTAGACTATAATTGTTTTTTAACTTGTTCTAATCTATTTTTATTGAATTGTTTAGAGATTTGTATAGTATGTCTAACATAATTATATATATATATATATATATATATATATATATATATATATATATATATATATATATATATTAAACTTTGTTAAGTAATGTTGTTTTTTAGCTAGGACCTAAATTGTTGTGTTTATCAAATTAAAAATATTAATTTATATTTAATATTGAGTTATATAGATAATAATTATGATAATAATGTATCATAATTTTTTTATATATAAAATTAACTAATATATTTATTCTTATCAATAAATATATGCGCAATTTTATTATTAAATAATAATAATTATTATTATTCATTCATTCAAATGTAACTTGCTTATTCTAACTAATCTTTTTTATTTTTGAAATTATGTATTTTTTATTTAGTTTGTTAATGTTAATAAATTAATAAAAAATCTTTAAAAATAAATTTCCATTTTTTATATTAGTCATTTTTTAAAATCAATTCTTAACAATTATGAACA